CCGCTTCTGCTTCGGAATTGTCGGTTTTCTTGTTTTAATGTGACAGGTTAAAACTACTAAACCGACAATTCCGGAAGCAGAAGCGGATGATTAAAACGCCCCTGATATTTTGCTTGCTGCTGTCAGTGTCAGTAAATTTTATTTTTGAAGTCACAGTTTATTGATAAAGAATCAGCTCACTCGGACCAGTTGAAAGTTCCAAAATAACATCCACTCCAGGGATACAAATTCAGGATACGCAGAAGACTGCTGTTTTATTATAGGCGGTTGTCATATATTGTATTATCCGAGTTGCACAGTGTATTAACTGAAACATTGAGATCAAAAGTGCCGACGCAGAGTGAGCGATCTGATTCTTTAGCTGTAAACTGTGTCACAGGGTTCAAAATGGCCGCGCCCTATGTTGGGCGTGTCGGACCTCTCTCTTGCCTCGTATAGTAATCAAAGTATGTGTTATAGAGAAAGTAAAAGTTGAAAAGTCTTTTGGTAGGTAGAGAGGGGGTAAACGTCAAACTACGTCGGGCGGCTCCGAGAATTTCGCAGTAATGTTTACCTGCCAGTGTCGTTTCATAGAATAAGTAATTTTAAATTGTTTTCGGCGGAACCGGACAATCGCATGTATTTATGGATTATAAATAATTATTAAACATGTATTATAATATTGAAATCATAATTTTACAAAATTTCAACAGTTATTCACAATTTATTAAACTATTTACTCGAAATTGTTATTAACATCTATAAAATAATTTTGTACGCCAATGTATCGGGTCCACTTCGGTGAGATCCGCTGCCAAACTGTCAATTTATGTGTATAAAGTGGGAGAACTAGCAAAAGCATTTCCAACTTTTACTTCTGTTCTAAAAGGTGAGGTACCGGTTTGACCATTATAAGAGCTAGATAAAGTATATTTTAACATCAGCATGTTCCAACTTCAAAATCTGGCCATCAGATGATTGGTCAATCATTTGACAGGTTATTATTTTAATTTCCACGGGGCATAACATATATTATATTTACGAACAAATATAATTGTATTTTATTTTTAACTCTTATAAGTTTGCAATATTATTTATTGTTATTAGTTTAAAGTAATGCTTCTTTCATCTTTGTTGAGGTATAGTTATTGTTGATCTTAAATATGAATGATGTACTGATGAAATGATGTCAAATTTAAATTTAGATACAAAAGTAGAAGTGGGCGACGTAGAAATAAAATAAAAAATAAAGACGATAGTAATTGCTGTTATAAGCTTTTATATTATTTTGTAGATAAAGAAAAGAAACGAATAAAGGTATTTTCAATTTTTTAAATGTGTATGTGTGTACATTTTATTACAATTAGCAGTTCGGCTGCTAAGACATCTTCCGTATATTATAAATGTAAACAAGAATGGAATGATTGATAATAACTTTTTCTTTTTTTTTACATTTATAATGCAAGCTCTTGGTGAATACTAATAAAATTTCCACACTTGAAAAGACCTACCTTTCCTTCGGTTTTCTTTATCAATCTGTGTGTAGTTACACCTACAAACCTTTGATTTATTTTGCAAATGATTAAAGTTGTATAAGTTAATGAATCTATTGAAAACAATCCTCTGCGTTTATATTTAATAAAAAGTTTATTACAACAGTGATTCATATAAGTAATTAAGGTTTACAAATCATTTTTGTACCTACCCTTTTCATCAATTTGCCTTGTAAGAACCACATTTTATTACAATTAGGAGATCCCTCCATGTGAAAATTGTTTAAGGCTAGTAACAAAATAAGTATGTATCTTTGGAATGTGTTTATTAATTATCTAAAATGTGGCAGTTATAATTTAATACCTACTCTTCTGTAAACATAACATCAAAATGGCACTTAACACTTATTTTTTCAAAATCCATTTCAACAATATTTACAATTTTGTAGGAAAGAATACACACTATTTTTCTTATTTAATTATTGTTGTATTGTACACTAAAAATTAAAAAAAAATAGTAATGTTCTCACTTTTTTATGAAATATATGGGTGGTTATTATTATAAGTATGTGGTATAGTATTTTACTTCTCGTTTTTACTTCCATTTCGTTTGTTACATATGGTATGATTAATAAACATTAATAAATTACCATTATTTAAAAAAAATGGATACAGACGTATTTTTTACTCGATAAAGATAAAATTAACTGAATTTTTCTGACAGTTCGCAGTCATTATTTGTTTTCATTTGAGTTACTTCACCTTTTACCGACATCTGGAGGATTTTTTATTATACTATGCAGTTTTTGGTTTCATATTTTAAAAAGAGTTAAAACACCTGTGAAATGTCATTCACCGGGGACAAATGTCACCATGTCACATACTTCGATTACTTTCCACCATTTTAACTGCGATAATGCTCCAAGTGCGATAACCACTGCACGGAAATCTTGACTTGACACTAGGAATAATAAATTTAAGTTGAACTTTACTTAGAGGTTCAAAATTCTATTACAAATAAATTAATTGGTAACTTAAGTGTGTCTTGCTTACTCACACAACGCGGTAAATTTAAATTGAATCCCGAATTTAAATTATACTGATTAGACTGACGGAGGGAAGAGAATGACGTATGACAGTTTAAGATATGGTAACAAGATGTCTTCCTGTTGGAAATTCCCAACGCCGCATTTCCAACACGAATTATAACAACGCACTATAAGATAAAAAAAAAGAATTTTATTTAGTATAAGCTTGAAATAAATAGCCTACTGAAATTATTCAGTTTTTAAACAAGTAAAAATATATAAGAATATAAACTATACAACCAAATAATTCCAATTCGTCAGCTTATGAAAAAGAGCAAATCTATAATAAGGGTTATACATTTTACAACCCAAATCTAGAGCAAATCCTTCATCAGGTACAGTTCATCAAATTTCTAGAGGCTTTCGACGGCTAGACAGAGAAAGCACTACTGACAGGCATCCCGACGGATTTATGCAATGAAAGTACACTCTGCGCATCAAGTATTTCACTATTTCATTCAGACGTAAATGTCAGATGTAAATTTCGCTAAAACATTTCTTTTATTTTCGTTTGTGTTTTTTGCTCATTACAGTTTAATAGAACCTAAGTATGGAGTTTAATAGCAAATTGTAGGAAAAATGGATTTGTTTCAGTAGAAGATCCCAAAGAATTATTAGAATTTTAACTTTTATAAATTATACAACTTGACAATGTCAATATATTTTATTTACTCATCAATAAAAAATAACAACTTGATTATTTTACATAAACAATAAAGATCATAAGTAATAAACTAGCTAGTGGATTAGGTCATTTGATAACTTCCAACACAAATTAAGAGGCCGCGTGATTAACAGTCAATCTCGCGAAATAATAGACAATGTTATGAGAAGAGAAGGAAACTTTAATTCACCTTCAATACCATTTAAAAATGTCAATGATCGTGTTGCTGCAGCCACAGGAGTATCTAAAAACACTGTCGTCCGCATTTCTGGAGAGAAAAAAAGAATCGATAACCGTGAGATATCGGAATTTTCATCACCAAGAAAAACCATTAAAAAACCAAAAACAGTTAATGATATAGATGAAGCTGCACAAGAATCAAATTTTATTTTTTTATTATTAGATAGCTATTTTTGTTTCTGAGTTGTGTTCATTTACAGGCTCAATTTTTTTCCGTTTCTCCTTTTTGATTTTATATGGGGTTTCAAGTTGTTTTTGACTTATTTCGACGTAAATCACAACAACACACTTTTTTAATAAAGCAAACAAGTGTTAAGAGGTATATGTACGTGTAAACTACAATTACAAAAAATTGATATGAAACCCGTGAAACCACCAACAAAAATGTAAAGCTAGCTTCCGTACTAGAACATGGTGTCATTCGTCGAGATAATTTATCGTTTTGTTTAATAGATCAAGAAATGTAAATATTCCCCTGTTATTTTTTATAAAATTATAAGAGAAATAAATTTTTTTCTAAATAGTATAGTTTATTATTTTGTAGAAAAACAAAATTTCGAAAATTTTAGTAATGTTTCAGAAACAACCGTTATTAATAATAGGTACCATTTTCCTTAATAAGGTAGAAATAAAATATAAACTATTTCCACGATTTACAAAGGCCTACAAAAAAATTATAGGTATTTTCCGCTATCCTATAAAATTTATATTTTCTGACTCAATTTCAAAAGGTTAAAGGAATTCCAAAACACCTTTTATGGCATAATAATTATTTTCAATTCTACATACTATCTTTAGCTGCTTTTAAAAACGTTCTAAGAAAGTCCAATCAGACCAATTTAATCCCTAAACTATTCCACACTTTTAAAATTTAATTACCTAAAAATATTAAAAACTATTTAAAATAACTTGTTTAGCAGACTGTACAATAGCTATCTTAGTCACACGTAGCGCGTTCTCTGTCTGGGCGTCGAACACCTCTAGAAATTTGATGAACTGTAAAGATGCCAGGGTAGCTATTCTTGAATTCGATGGAGTAGGAAACTGTTTTTTCTCTTTATCTGCAATATACACAATTTGTATTTCTATCTCATTCTTCCCTCTAAGGCTCTACTCTTTGATGGCAAGTAAGCTTATACATTTGTTTACACACCTACTAATGGTGCGCTACATGCAAAACTGTTATTATGATGTAATTTATAAAAAAAATATTTAAAACATAAGAGTATATGTGCGAAGGGTAATAAGTTGTACATAAATTTTATAAAATAAATGAATGATTCTAGTTAAATACCGGTTGCATTTTAATTATAAAAAAGAAATTTAAAGTGATTATGAACCAAATTATTTCACTTCCTTTAACCAAAGCTTAATCGGTTCAAAAATGTCTCTAAAGGGTTAACGCAATTCCTGATAATGTCTCTTTTACAATTTCGTCTGGCCTCCCTGTATAAAGACATGCACTTATTACAACCAAGTGCACGACAATAAATAGAAAAAAAGAGAACATGTTCGTCCTTCACCTCTTGTTTATAGGTAGTGACCCAGTTCCCGCGGTGGTCCGTAAAGACGGTACTAAAGTTGAGGACCATGTAGAATTCGACGATCAAGAACCAGAGTTCGCCGCTTCCGAATACCGACAACAGATCGTGGCGAGCCCCCTTGTTTCAGCTCCGACGCCCTCCGGTGTTGAGATGAAGGTGGTACGGTATGATCCGAAGACGCACAAAGGACAGCAGGTTCAGGAAAAGTATGTCGAAGAGGAGGCCCAGCAGGTGAATCCGGTGATATTAAATGATAACAGATATAACAGGTAAGACTAATAGAGGATTAGAAACTAAAAATAAATTAGAATTTCATGTATTGTTGGAAACAAAAAATTTGTATTTTCTTAACTACGTTCATGATTACTTAAATAGGCGTTACAATGCAATGTATTATCATAGGAGGGTTTTTCTACATACAAGACGGTCTTTCTAGGCAATAAATCTATGCGAATTTGCTTTTATAATATTCGAATGGTATTTCCTGAATATATTGAAAAGAAAAGAAAAAAAAATAAGAGAATGGAAAAAAGAACGAAATTGTAAAAATTTGACATGTTAAAAAGTCATCAAAAATTGCTATAAAAACTATTTCAGGAAATACAATATATTCCCATTAGAGGCTACACACAAAAAATATTTCATTTTTTGCTTTCATTTACAAGTTATTTATGTAAATTTTTTATTTATTTTAACGTGATTTTAACTTAAAATTTGACATGTTAAAAAGTCATCAAAAATTGCTATAAAAACTATTTGAGGAAATACAATATATTCCCATTAGAGGCTACACCCAAAAAATATTTCATTTTTTGCTTTCATTTACAAGTTATTTATGTAAATTTTTTATTTATTTTAACGTGATTTTAACTTAAAATTTGACATGTTAAAAAGTCATCAAAAATTGCTATAAAAACTATTTCAGGAAATACAATATATTCCCATTAGAGGCTACACACAAAAAATATTTTAAAACTTGTTTTTTGCTTCTGTATCTGTATCTGTAACGCATGGAGGGTGGGTTAATCCATGGTACTAAGGCCTCACTAGACCCATTGTATACCTCTTAAGTAGATAGGCTCGTGAGCCAGCCTACAGATTTAATGTAGTTGACAAAGTTGCCAAGAGATGCTTCGCTTATATCAAATGGTTTTAGACAATTTTTGTCGAACACAAATCTTTTAATAAATGAGAGCGTCGGACAATCGTAGAGGATATGTTGAATGTTCTCATCTTCTTGTTCGCTCTTCCTGCAGAGGGCAGATTCTGACAGCCACATGATATGGAGATGCTTCCGTAGTTGGCAATGTCTAGTCAGAATGCCTGTGATTAGGCGCAGATTCTGTCTAGTTATAGTCAAGTATTTGTTCGCTGTAGTATTGTCAAGTTAACTTGAAAGCTCCCTGGCAAGTCTGCAGGTTCTTGTTTCATCCCATCTTTCCTTAAATTTCACAAGCGAATATTCCTTAAATTAAGCTTGTCACTACCGATGTTGTCAGTCCAATAAAAGGGCCAGGTCTAAAAAGTATTTAAAAAAACCAAAAAAGGTTGACAGCTGTGTGCACGTAGTTTAGATTCAAAAAGGAAAAACTTGTATTTCGTGCAAAACTTTTTTATTAATCAATGCAAAGCGCTTTCGGCTTATTTGCCATCATCAGTGCTCATCTACAAAAATTGTGGATGTAAACTTACAATTTAAAAAGATTTTAAAAAAAAAATTATATTATAAAATCTGAATTAGACTTTTAAGTCAAAAGTTAAAATAGTATATATACAATTGTTTGAACAAATTAAAAATTACAAGAAACAAACAAAGTGACAAAAAACTGGTATTGGGAATAGTGAGTGTGGGATAAGCCCTTACAAATCAAATCTGATCTCCAGAAGCAAGTTAGCTTGTGTGGAATTAAGGAATCATGCCACCCTCACTATTCACAAAATTGAAAAAAGGTTAACAAATTAGTTAAAATTTAAAGAAATTTACAATTAGAGGGTGACTGTGGAAGATATATTGAAATTTGAATCTAGAATGCAATATTTGATATGAAGAAAGTAAAACGCAGAAGGCCAAAGTAAAAAAACTGAAGGTTTTTTTTTATATGTTTTATATACATTATAATTATGAAAAAGTCTACCTACTGTCCACAACTTATCCAACAAGTTCCTGGTCATCCTCACTCCCAAAATTATATATTTCGGGATATTTACAACTTGCTAAATCATAATTTTATTAATATTAATATTTTCAAATTTAAATTTATCTCTTCATTTTGGTTCAAGTTGTTTAACCGTTTCCACATGACAGTGGTGACAAGCGACACTTGAAGACTTTGACTTGTCAAATGTCAACAGAAGGAGGTGTGTTCACCTCAGTGTGGAACATGTTTCTCCGAGTGTGATTCGAGTGATTGGAGGTTAACGGAGATCAAAATTTGTTATTGAGTTTAAAGATTTAATTTATTGTTAGTTAAATTTAAATAAATGTTTAATATAAAAGATATTATTATTTTGATGTCAAGACAAAACAAAAATGTCACTCGCGTGATTCAGATGTGTCAGCCCGGGCTCTGCAGAACATTCTTTCAGAGAACCCAAGGTGGCACAACTGAACCCGCGGTCCCTAAAGGTGAATCTGATGTTTAGTCCTAAAAATTACTAAATCACTCAACAAGCGTACTCATGGTTAAAAGAGACAAAATAGAGAACAAAAAAGTTTTAAACAAAGGAGTACCATGGTCCCAAAGGTAGGCTCTGATGGGTGAAATCGAGTTCTTTGGTTGAATCAGTCACTTGATAAATAAAGGTTTGCCGCAAAATTCGTGAAACACGTCAATTTTTATTTTCAATGGAGCATATTACAAAAAGATTTGTTGCAGACACCCCAACTTTTTTTTTAATGGAAGGGTAGGTTGATTAAAATTTTATTTGGAAGCTTTTTCAATTACTAATACAATTCCATTAATTTTTTGTTACTTTTTATAAGACATGTGTCGGAAATGAGGAAATATTTACTGAAATTACTTTAATGTATAAGTACAACCTACCCTTCCATTTAAAAAAAGGGGGTGTCTGCAACCCTCCACATAATTAAAAAGATAAACAAATCTCTTTGTAATATGCCCCATTAAAAATAAGAATTGACGTGTTTTAGGAATTTTGCGACTAACCTTTATTTATCAAGTTACAGAATTTGTTCCAGTTAGACTTTCCACTCTCTGTAAAGAGATGTAAATACGTACAATTTAGTATTTTTGTTGATTAATGATTTGCAATTCTGTTAAATAAAAATGAATTAGAAGCCTCTAGTTGAAGTAGGTACTTTGAAAAGTGCAGTCTTTTTAAAAATAGGCAATGTAAAACTTTAACATACTGTATATCAAAAAAAAGTCATAAGATAGAGTTGGCTCCGTGGACCCGTTTGCTTAAAAATTTTAACCGAGTACCATTTCTCCATAAGGAAGGTGCGAAGACCTTGCCAGGGATAGCAACTGCCCCCTTTACCTCTTTCTGGCGGCGCCCATGGAAAAAAACAAATTTTAACATGATTAATATTTTGCCATTTTTAAAAGAAATAAAGGACTTTACAGGCTTCCATTATAAAAGTTATACCATCACTTAATAATTAAAATCCAAATAAGTAGTTTCGATAAAAACATTGTCCCAAAGTTTGTATTCTAGTCCATAAAATTATTTAAATACTGCCCAGAGCCAGGTAGATATGCTATACTCGTTGACGAACAAGTAAAATAAAAATAATTTGACCTACAAAATATGGCAACCAAGCAAGCGGTTTTTGAGAATAATCAAACATTTTAATTATTACGCAGAAGTGCATCAATCCCTTAGATGAAAGACACCGGGGATATAACATTGCACACAGCGCATGTTGTCTATTAGCGATTCAAGCTAAGTGATACGCCCTCTGGAGGAAATTTGTAGAAGGTCCGCATAAGTAGGATATCGTTCACTGTTGCCAGAAGTAGCAAAACTTCGCTACGTCTTCGGATTTTAACTCTTGAAGAAGTGGATAAGACCTTTTATTTAATAATCAAAATTTGTGTATGGTAATATGTTATCATACTCTATATTTATTTAAGTATTTTTTTATAAAACCGATTTATTATATTGATTTTTTTTTATATTTCAGTTCATTTATTAATTTTGTTTTAAAATCAGTTCATCATTTGGCAACATTGGCGTTCGTGTTCATTGTTTACATTTTAATTGGTATCAATTACAATTAGAGTTTTTTCTTACTTTTTAGCTTTAAATTTGTTTATTTCTTATATCGTGTGATAGTGATTATATTAAAAATGAAATCTGCGAAAAAGTCCCCAGAAAATTGCAATCTATATGGTGTTAATGTCAAAATCAAAACTGAAGTATTCATTATTTTCCAAGTACAAGTCGTAAAATTTTGTTTTTTACGATAAATGGATATCTACAAATTCACAATATTGAAATTTTACAAAACTTTGTTCAGAATCAAACTGTAATCTTATTTTTTGACGGTTTTATTACCATTTACATATATACAAAGTATTACATGATTCACTTCATAATATAAGAATAAGTCTAGTAAGATTTTTAAATAAGTTCATCCATAATAAACGTGTGGTACCTGAAATGTCCTTTAAACCACATAATAAAACATGTCCTGGGTTTAGTGAATACATATTTCTAGATGTTCTTGTAGCAACCAATAGGTGAATATTTCCAACAAATTAAGTCATACACATAACTATATTTAAAACTTTCTAAACTTGACAATCGATCAGTAATGAAAATATAGAAAATCACTGATCTTTATGATATTATAATTAAATAAGGTAGCGACAAATTCTAATTCACAGAGACTTAATTATTCAAATTTAAATGATTTATTGACTTATCTGGAGGTATACAGGAAACAGGTAACTGTAGAGGCCTTCTTGTGAGAATTTAGTGTAGTGTAAATCTTGTTAACTAAACTTCTTGTTAACTAAACTTCTTGATGTATTCTACGTTCTTCCAAAATTCATGTAGAGACAGCTACTATTGAATCCTCGATTTAGTTTCTATCGAACCATCTAAATCTACTGAAACCATATATATAACTTCTAGGATTTCTTTAAGATTTTCAGACCATCTATATACAGCAAGGCTACAAGGAAATAGGTAAAAATATAAAGAAAAAATTAGGGAGAACAGATAAGATGCTTTTTACTATCAAATGCATAATTTAAATTATTAAATGAAAAGCTCCACAGAGACCAAATTCAATAGGTAAAGAAAAAGTCTTATATAACATATATAAATATAGCAAAGCATCCATCCATCCATCAATCCAGCATCCATTTCAAACAAAATAATATATGTAATTATATAAAACATGCGTTCTTGTATTTTTCAATGTGTTGAGGTGTTGAGGTTTTGAGGTTATGTTTCAAATTTGACATTTCTTGTACTAAATATATATTTTCAACAAAATATCGGTAGAAAACTTACCTTTTTATAATCAGACGGCCATTAAAATAATTTAAGGTAACTAGTACATCGGATGTCTCAGATAAAGTTCAAATTAAAATTCAAATCAACTTAGCTTGTCGACAGATAAAATGAAAATGACAATCCAAGTTTTGACACAAGACATAAACGACAGTTGACGTTTATGTAGAGATGTTGGTTTCAAAATAACGAGAACGGGTCTGGGTCAAATAACGAAAACGGATTTAACCGTTACAAAGTATGCGAATCTCAAAATTTGCTCGGATAAAAGCAAAGCGACCTATATGGGTTCCAAAAATAATCGATTAATCGATTATTTTGTTTTTTTTATGAAAATCCATTATCTGTTATAATTATTCGAAAATTTTCGATTAATCGAATATTTTCAATAATTTTCGTTTTTTCAAAGTTAATGGAATAATAGATTTTAAAGGAAATACAAAAAAATAGATTTATTGAAAAATAGATTTATCGTTTAATCGCCATTTTTAATTAATCGAATATTTTCGATTTTTCAAAGGTATTTGAATAATTTATTTTAAAGGCAATACGAAAAAAATAGATTTGAAAAAAATAGATTTGAAAATAATCGATTGATCAAATATAATCGGTTATTTTATATATTCGATATTCCGATTATTTATTTCGAATTATCGATTTATCGAATACAGCGCTTTTTCATTAATCGATTATTTTCGATTCTTCAATTTTTCGATTTATCGATTTTTCGATTTTTCGATTTTTCGATTTTTCGATTTTTCGATTTTTCGATTTTTCGATTTTTCGATTTTTCGATTTTTCGATTTTTCGATTTTTCGATTTTTATTTAATCGAATAATTAATTTTAAAGGAAATATCAAAAAAACAGATTATTTGAAAATAATCGATAACTCGGTTATTTTTTTTTTAAATCGAATATTTTCTATATTCAAAGATAATCAAATAGATGATTTGATAATCGATAATATAAACGTTTTTTAATTAATCGATTATTTTCGATTTTTGAAAGATCGAATATTCAATTTTTAAGAAATTACCAAAAAAATTTTTTATATAAATCATGTACTCTTGTTGGGAACTCGTCCTTTATTAACAGTAGAATAATTCAGTAATAAAAAATAAACACAACTGATTCACAATAACTACTACACGTTAAAGCACTAACGCACAATATAAACCATTACCTAGAAAATAGTCCAAACAATGAATCACGAGTGAATAAAATTTCATCTAAGAGCTAAAAATAGAAACCTATCGGTCTCCGTCATCCGCAAAAATTTTAACTGGACCCTCAACTCCGCTCACTTCAAAACAAGCGACTGCAAACGAATATCGACTTATCCAAATTCACTAGCGCCATCTATTGGTAGTATCCATTTCGCTCCAATGAAACTTCCGTAAGATGAGACTACTATTAGTTATTTATACAATGACCGTAGTATGTTACATCTCTGATCTCTTTTATCTAAGATCAATCCCCATCTATCGCCACCTTAGTTAATTAATAGTTATTGTTATGAATATTATGGCGTGCAAGTTCCGTCTTAATATTCCTTCGGTCCCCATCCTGTCTGAAAAAGCCTTATAGAAAAAAAATTATATGACAGCTTGTACAAAGTTTTTTTCTTAATTTTCAGGTACCTCCCTTTAAAAATAAATGGAACTCAATTTCCGATACCAGATGTTCAAGAATTAAAAGGCAGAAAAATTTCGAGCGTCGTAGTACTGGCGCCCATTAGTTACGATTTTTCTTCAGAAAGAAAAACTAGAGAAACTACCAGAGAATTATCGAAAAAATCCAGTGATATCGACTTTATTCAAGGAACAGCTCTCAAGGAATTACTGACTGATCCTTCTTCAGATAATTTCATCAAATTTCTCGAAAATGAAAATAGAACGAGCAGCGATAAACAAGCAGTAATTTTGTTAGTTGCAGAGTAAGAATCTGTTTTTATAATTTTTACTTTCCTGCTTTTTATATCATACAAATAAATAGTATAAAAGTGTCTACTTGGAAACTGAAGTAAATAATACATAATTAACGATTTCTCTATTAAGTTCAAGTAAATTAAAAATTGAGAAACTTGATTCTGTAAAGGTACTGAATTATCAATTTTAAATCAATTTCAATATAATTTCTATTTTTACTGTAAAATATTTGTAGATCCATTAAGTTAAATATTTGTTAAATATTAGCAAATGTTAAATATGCTTTCTCTTCAAATATTCTTGATGACTGAGTTGCTTACGTAACAATTAACATTTTTATACGAGTTTTAAGATAAAAGGAAAGATGGTTAAGATCTTGTAATGTCAGAGGCGAACGCTATACAGGATTGTGCAACTTTCTCATTTCAATTTACTGAATTTCACATTTCTGATTTTCAAAACCCTGCAAATATATAGGTAGAGTAAGTACTCATCCTCATAAAAAATATTAAGCTTAAGGTCAAATGTTAAATAATGTTATACGCATAATTTTTATTTTAAATTACTGAGAAAAGTTTAATATTGACTTAGAACAATTTTTGTCCGAAAATCAAAATAAATGATCTTAAAGTAGGTATACAAAAGGTAGGTTCTCAAAACAAATAGATAAACTATAATAAAGGGTCAGGATCATTATTTGGGAAAATGTGTTAAGAGCCAACCGAACACCTTGAAAATTTCTAGTACCTTCAGGGCCATTATTTTAAGTCTGATTTTTGTGAACTTTTCAGGAAATACCAATAATAACAAAACTTATGCTAAGACGACACTGAGCGCTACGCTATGTTTGCTATGGTCACTACGTTCGCTACATAACATAACATAGCGAACGTAGCGTCTTACATCTATGTGGCCACGTCCGTTTATAATAATAAGAGATATGTTTAATGGACGTATCGAACATCGCACTCTGTGTGGCCGCAGCATTAGGCTGAAGAAATCTTAATTTTTTTGTAAACCTTCTAAAAGTGTTTATTTTGATAATTGTTAAATCTATGTTTTTAATAGGAGGGTTTCCCACCTTTATTTCTTAAATGCCTTTACATAGCGAAGTATTCCCAGTGGCGCGCATATAAATATTTTTTTATATTAGAAAATCATCACATTTTGTAGCAATAAAAAGTACTCATTTTATATAGTAAGTCACAAAAAAAAATTGCAGAAAATCCACAAAATCTTGAGAAAAATGAATCAAAAATTGTAATTTTATAGGTTATTTTGGTTTTATCATACTATACATAGGTGACAATTTCGAAGTTTTAATAATAGTGTAATTGAAGTAACTTACTTTTGTTACATTTTAACTGAAATTAGATATCTATGGAAAATTATGTTTAATTTGCTAATTTAATTTATATTATAAAAAAATGCATTTTATTGCCTGTTTAACTATTTCCTTCCACAAAACATAAAATGAACAAAATAAATCATCGAATTATCTTTGTTGGCACATGACACATGGTGTACTTGAGTTTGCAACGTTGCCATATTAACAAAGTTTTTCCAGGTTGTACGTGTCTAGGCTTTATAGATAGATGAGAGTTCAGAGCTAATTTGAAGCACTAAAAAGTTCTTATTTTATATAGCAAAGTAAAAATGTATGGGTAATTTTTTAGAAAAATTTAATGAAAAATTATTTGCCTTATTATTGACATAGAACATGTATGTATTATTCACAAAACGCTTATGGTAGTATTTAATATTCATAGAACTATAGGACACGAAATATAAGATATAAAAAGAGATAAACCTATCTGAGATTTTTTACTTTAAAATTTTCGTGGTGTGGCATTTAAATCTTTTAAGTAGGTAGTAATTATTGTCTTTATGTAAAATTGAATTTAATAACATAATGGGTCTATTCTGTAACAATTCCTTTATCCGTTAAAATATTGGAGGCCTTTAAAAATATTTTCGTATTTACTAAATTACGTCTGTTATTATTTAAACGGATTCCTTTAAAATACATTAGAGGACTATCTTAAAGAAATCCGTTTAAATAATGGCAGAAGTAAATTAGCGAATACGAAAATATTTTTAAAGGCCGCCAATATTTTAACGGATAAAGGATAGAATTACAGAATAGACCCCCAATAGATGTTATGAGACTTTATAATATAACTGATGAAGAGTTATTCGAATATTATGAGTAGGAATAAGTCAGTGAAATCGCAATTTAGATGCAAACAACGCCTTTGCCCAATCTAACCACTACCGAATAGAGTGAGCGAAGCGAGCGCGACCGGCCTACGTTTCGAAATTCGCGCGAATTTTGAAACACGTGAATTTCGAAACGTCGACCGGATGCGCTCGCTTCGCTCGCTCTCTTCTGTAGTGGTTAGGAGGTGGGGGTACGAGCGTAGCATGCTCTTAAAGTTGTAGATTAAAAAAAAGGTGAACAAGTGTAAATTAAAAATTTAAAAAAACCGACTTCAAAAACGTGCAGATGCCGTCACCACATCTTAACCAAATTTATATGGGATCACCCCTGAGGTACCCCCTTACTAACAAAAAAAGAATCATATAAATCGGACAAGGTGGTAAAGCATTATCGCTAAACATACATAAAAAATGAAGAGTTTGAAGATTTTCTCATGGACCCAATTTTTAGATTTTGACCAAATTTATATGGGACCACCCCTGAAGTACCCCCTTTCTAACAAAAAAAGAATCATTGAAATCGGACACCGTGTTAAAGAATAATCGCTGAACATACATAAAAAAAAATATCGCGACGAATTGATAACCTCCTCCTTTTTTGAAGTCGGTTAAAAAGGAGCGCGCTCTGCCGAAGGCTTCACTTACTCTCTTCGGTAGTGGTTAGGTTATTAAAACTTCGAAAATGTCACCTACGTATAGTATGATAAAACCAAAATAACCTATAAAATTATAATTTTGTAATGAATTACTATATATTGCTCCAATTTTTTTGTTTTAATTCCAACACTCTTAATCTTATACAAACCCATTACATGTATCCCAATCATTTTGGAAGCACGTCTTACCGCTGCAGTCACACTCAATTTATCGTCATTGACTACATAACAAATTATATTAAAAATCACAATACTGGCATAAAGCATTTGTCCGCGTTTGAATTTCTTAAACTCCCATGTTGTAAGTAAGAAATTACAACTAAACCAACCTCAAAAAAAGATACTGAGTAATTAAATGTCAAAGTTTTGACAATTATAAAAAAATCATGGGTTTTAAATATGCCTATACAGTAAAATTACAGTGGCATTATATTTTTTATATTTCGATAATGTACTAACATTTCAAAAGCCTCCTGGAAAAAAATTTGTTCATCATTACTGGAAACATTTTTCCTACGAAAGTTTCCTTTTAATTTGGGGAACAACCTGTAACACTGGGGAAAGATCTGGCGAATATGGCGGGTGTTCCACTAATTCAAAGCCTGCTTGTTGTATAACAGCCATGGCAGTACAAGATTATGTTTTAAATTAGGTAAAGATCTTTGGTAAACCAATAAAACTAAGCTATATTCCAAAGAATTATCCAGGACATAAAAAATATTATACAAACTGACATACATCTGAAAATCAATCTAAAGCTCTTTTACCAATTGAGAAATAAACTGATATCGCCTATAATTTCTGATGTCATTTCTTCATTGTTGGCTGTATTAATAGTCAGCTTTGCAGAATTTCTTTCGGATGGTAGTTGATCTCGACTTGCTGTCATATGCCCCGAACAACCCGTGTCAAGATACCATAAAATATCGCTTTTATGTTGTACAGCAAATGCAGAAAACAACAGAACTATCGGAGCTGTTACTAATTTTCTTTTTATTAGATTTTGTACAATTATTTGCAGTGTCCCTATTTTTTACACCTTTATTTTTACGATTCATTGAATAATTGTCTCTGTTAGAACGAGAACCACTAGCACCGTACATGGCAACCGACTTTTGATCTTCATTGTGAATTACCGAGATATCCTGCAAAAATTTGGTTTTCATAGCATCAGCTATGATCGGAGTGCCGGAGCTTTCAATCCTCATAATCATAGATTTATAGCTTTCGGATAGACCTGCTATCAATATTGTAACTAGCCACTCATCACTAACTTTGAGTGCCAGAAAGTTTATATGCTGTAGTAATGACTGTATTCACGTATTCCTCTACTGAACCACATTTTTCTAAAGTCGTAGTTAATAAATATACGGAGTAGTCCTACTCGGCGCGTTAATCCCGCGTCTTGAAAAGCTTTGCTTAAATTGTCCCACACTTCTTTGGTTGATTTTGCTGTTTGCACGTGAACAAAGTTTAGCGGTTCAACCAGCAAAATATTTTTTGACCCAGCCTGGGTCACCTTTTTTAGATTTGCTTCAGTACCTAATACTGCATCCCATAGTTTCTCATGTTCCAGATAGGTTTGAACTGCAAACCACTATCATAGATGTATAGCTGAAAGCATTATCCTGAATGAACAGCACACTGTTCCTTAACTTTCCTCGGCGTTTCTCTTTAAAAGCGTCTTGCAGTTTAGAAATCAGTTGTGCGTAATAGGCCCCTGTAATGTTCTGTCTTTTTTGCAAATAGTCAGTCAGGATGATTCCTTGAACATCCCAGAACACAGACAACAAACCCTTTCCAGCAGACGGCACGACTTTGAAATTTGCGTAGAGGAGGACAACCGCGATGTTTCCACTCTTTACTTTGCGCTTTGGTCTCGTAATCATAGCGGTGCACCCATGACTCGCCCATGGTAATATACCTACTAAGAAAGTTCTCTTTATTTGCTTGATACCTTTCCGAAAGTCGCTCACAAACCGATTTCTTTTTTGATCAATGGTTAACATTCGGAGCACCCATCTCGCAATCATCTTTTTCATATCTAATTCTTTATATAGTATGTAGTGCAAGTTATGGAAACAATCCCGCCGACTAATACAAGAATAGCGCTTACGTTGCACTCTGGACTA